GCAGCTCCCCCGGGTCTGACGGGGGTAGCCCTGTCCATGTCTCCTCCGCTTTGCACGCTTGAGTTTCGTCTCTGGGTAGTTGTGCTGGTTTCAGTCGGGATGGAGTTAATTTTCTCAGTAGCTCGTGTAGTGCAGTGTTTGGAATCAGAGTGATAGTACACTGGTGTTTTGGTTTCTGCTAAGTTGTGTTTATCCTAAATCGAGGATATTTTTCTTTCTTGTGCCGTATGCTCTGCCAGTGGGAAGGTACACAAGAAAACCGAGAGGGAGCGTAGCCGGGACAGGTGACCTGAAGCAGCCAAAGGGATATTCCCCACCACGGCACGTCCTGCCCAGGCTATCAGCAGAAGGGCCGATCCGGGGGGAGGTTCGGGGTTGCGCCTGTCCGCGAGTGCTGAGCAACTGTGTTGTGCATTACTGGTTTTGTTCTTTTTATTAACCATTAGCATTTTAGCTTATTCTGCTCTTTATTATTATTGAACTGTTCTTATCTCAACCTACGCATTTTACTTTATTTTTTAATTCTCCCCATTCCTCTGAGTTGTGGGGTAAGAGGGAGTGTGAGTGGCTGCGTGGTTCTTGGCTGCTGGCTGAGGTTAAACCACCACAGTAGTGTTTGTAATCCATTGAACATGAGGAATGGACTTTACTTCCTGTTCTGAGTTCTGTTCTCCCGAACTGAACCGTATTCCTTAGTCTAGGATGAAGGGGAGGTTGGCTTTTCTCCAGAATAAGATCTGTGCCTGTTCACAAGGCACAGCTGTGGTAAGAACAGTCTTGTAAGAAAAAGTAAGAACCTTCTTGCACGGTAAGGTGTTTGTGCATGGAAAGGATGGGCTGAACATTAAACCTATTCATGGCTCACAGCAGTGTTTACTCACTGACTGCTAGAGGGAACTGCAGAACTCAGGTGGAACTGTTATGTTACAACTTGTGTAGCATGGATAGTTTTCTGCACGGAAAGAATGAGCTAAGCACTAAACCCATTCGTGGCTCAGGGCTGTGTTTACTTACTGACTGCTAGAGGGAACCACAGAACTGGTATGTTACAACTCGTGTAGTTGTTTTTTTGAATAGTTTCCTGCCTCAGACTGGGCTGAGCTCTGGTTTGAAATCTGCTCTGGTTTGAAATTTTGGTACTTCCCTCACCACTTTTGAGCCATGTAAACTTTGTGCAGTTGTGGCATGTGGAAGTGGATGTAACTGCACAAAGTCAGAGTGTTCTGAAAGCTCTAACATGAAAGTGTAGCCTTGAAGGAAATCTCTGTTGGAGCGGTGGTTAAACAGTTTCTTCTACATCACTTGCTCTCCTCATGGTTTCCTTTTTTTCCCCCGGGTGTGGCCTGCTGTTGTCAATGATATATGCAGCTTTTGAGGGACCTAAGGCTGGTGACTTCTTGTTGACTTGTAAAGTGAAATTGAATGCAGTTGACAAGTCTGCAGTGGGCGGTGACCTCAAAGGTGTTAGAACCCAATCATTATGATGCAGGTGCAATAGTGAAATCATACTTTCCATTACAGATTGCATCTAGAGAGCTTTCTAAATATTTACATGTAATGTTTTACAGTTTATCTTCTGTCCCCTGGGCTAAGTATATTTAGCTGTGCATTGTTGTACTATAGTGAACCAAAATAACATCCAAAGCTGTTATAAGAGTGCTCTTTGTTAAGTATTTTATATTGCCTATCAAAATCCTGAACAAATCTGCTTTCTGTGTTCACAGATTTTCTATTTAAGGTTAATTTTTGTTGTTCAGTTGGAGTCTGTTAGTTGTGAAACACTAGGAGTGTCAATAGTTGTGAGTGAATGGAGGCACAATTTGGAATTTCCTGACTTTAGGGATCATGGTAGATCATTTGGGAAAAGTATCCATGGTCATCTTTGTCATTAAATGGTTAGATTGTTCTTTGTATCAACTGGTGCTTCTTCATGATGTTTGATTTATTTTTTGGAACAAATCATAATGCTCAATAAATTAAGTCATATGTCCTGTTGTTGCTGAAAGCAGTTATCCAAATATAAAATAATGACTTTTTAAAGTACTGGAGGTGAAACAGGTTCCTAATTGTTATTAATGTTTGGGAACATGTACTGCAGCAGTACAACATATGTAATGAGCTCCCCATGCACCAAAATGTAACTCACACTGGACATGAACACCATAAAAACTTTTGTTTTCTCTCTCCAGATTCCTTAAGGAGCTGCAACTAGAAAGGTGCTGTGCTTAGTAAAACCTAAATGTTAACTTGTTGGAGGACAACATGCCTATTCACACAGTTCCTGCCAAGAGCCCTGCTGGGGCACGAGGTACCACCACTCTGCTGAAGGTTTCCTCACACATCCCCTTTGCCTGCAGCAAAGCACCTGGGCAGCAGCCCAAGTCCCAGGGGTCAGGAGAAGAAAAGGATTGTCTACTTTCATGTTCTCAGAATAAGACTGAGGAAGTGAATGTGACCTACGTAATTTCAGCCTGTAATAAAGTGAGTGAAACATCAACTACTTTTAAAGCTGAAGGCAAATTAACACTCCAGAGGAGAACTGGAGCAAGCAAAAAGGTAGTGTTCAGTAGTGAACAATTGCATACAAACTCAACACAGGGCGTGGAAGAGCCTCAGACAGAGAAAAGACTGACTCTGCAGAGGTGTGTGAGGACTGGCTCCACTGGGAAGAGTAAAATTAATGAGAATACTGTGCCTAGAAAAGAAAATTGTGACTCGACTGTGCAAAGACGTTACAAGATTACACTTCCACAAAATCTTAATGATACCCATGATGATAAATCAAACTTGCACTTAGCTGAGGCTCAGTCAAGAACTAAGTTACAGTGTAAACTGAACAGCAAGGATTCCTTTGGTTTTGTTGGTGGTGTTGGTGGAAATGATACCTACACGTGCTTAAAAGATAAGGCAAGCACTGCTGACCAAAAACTTCAAAATGAAGTTCCTAGGTTGGAGCAATTGAGTACCTCAAAATATGTCATTGGGCTGTCAGGAGAACAGCTGAATGAAAAAGGCCATATAAATAAGCTTGCTGCAAAGCAAAGGTTACAGCACTTGATCATGAAACATAACAGTGTGGAAAGACCAAGGACACCAGCCAAAGCTTCAAGAGAAGGATTTAAGCTTACACCAAAGAACATCACTTCTCAGGATCAGCCTTGTCTCAAATCCACCTCAAATGAACGAACGCCTCATCTTCAAATTTTAGCCAAAAACCCCCCAAGTGCCTCTAGCTCTTTTCCTGTGAGTGAAAGCTCAGAAAAAAGAGAGAACACAGAGACTGTAGCTGAGAGCAGTAGGCCTGAGGAAGATATTTTCAAAGTGAGAAACAGCAAAGTGATTGTAGCCGCACGTGTGCGGCCCTTCAGTAACAGGTTTGTGTCCTGGACTTATTTCTGATGCTGATCGTATATGGTGATTTCTGCTTTGTACTATTTGAGTTGTTTAATCATCAACCCAATCAGGATATTGAACATACATTGAAATCAGCTGATACGTGATGCACACCAAGATGAAAATTGTATTAAGAAGCCAAATTGACTTTATAGGTGTTTGGGGCTGTATTTTACCTATTCGTTAACAGAAGTATTTTGAGCTTTAATACTTTGTATGTTGATCAAAGAGGTATTTTTAACAATGATTACTGATAATTTTATTTTCCATTAGGCAGTTGATGGAAATGGCTAACTTAAAGCATGTGCAAAATTTTTAAACTTTTTAATTTCCTCCCTTTTCCATTCAGAGAGAAAACTGAAAACTCACTGCCTGTAATCTCCATGAGTGGTTCAGAGACAACTGTACGAAATCCATCCACAAACCAAGTTTACACCTTCAGTTACGACTTCTCCTTCTGGTCTTTTGACAAATGTCATCCTGATTTTGCAAGCCAAGCCATGATTTATAGCACTTTGGCAGTTCCACTCCTTGAAAGAGCTTTTGAGGGGTACAATGCTTGTCTCTTTGCTTATGGGCAGACTGGTTCTGGAAAATCATACACGTAAGTTCCTAATGATCATTGTCAAAAGGCTGTAGGAGCCAATTGTTATGCAATGTGAAGTCACGACAAGAGACTGTGTGGAACAGATTTCAGAGTGGTTGAATTGTGTCAAAATGTCATTGTCTTTTCTAAAAATAATTAGCCAATATTTATAATAATTAAGCCAAAGTTACCTTTAGAATGTTATTATTTATATGACCCTGACTTCTTTCTCCTCATAGTGAAGAAAAGATATTTTAGTGAGGGAAAAGCCCTTATTAGTGCTGAGAGCATCTGACTCTTCCAGTGCTGTTGTTCACCACTGTTTATTTTGTGCCTGAAGTGACATGTTTTGAAGCATAATACGTCTTTTGGAGAAGATATCTAAGAGATCATTCTAATTGTGGTCCTGATGCTTCAGAACTTAAATAAATAAATCCAAATGTTTGTGGCACTGCTTATTTGAAATCTAATCTTTGCACAGAATAATCTTAGACAAGTAACATTTTGGAGGGTTTGTAGCCAATTTGGTATACGTTACTTACATTTTTCAATAGAATGCCTAGTGAACTGTTTGGTTTCCAAGCATGCATCTATTAAAATTAGTTCTGTGAGTTTCAGAATTCCCATCAGGTACTATAGACTTTTATTAAAGGTATTTGAGGACCAGAAATGTTTCTGGTCAATTTACAATAGAGAACTCAGACAGAAGTGGGATTTTCCTTTTTAAGTGGGATCTTGGTTTTTACTTACAATGTTTATTTACCTTGACCTACAATAAAGGTACATTCAGGATGGCAACTGTTATCCTATTTGTAAGTTTGTTGCATTTTTGTTTGTTTGTTGGTTTTTTTTTATTCCACTTTCACTTAAACCATTATTTGCCTTCACCCCTTTGAATCAGTAATAACTGTGTACTCTGGTCAAGTTCACCTGACAAATTTCTGCTGATGACTATGTCATGAAGCTGTGTGTGTCTGTGGACTGTAGCTGAGTTAGTCCAGTACACCAGTGTTCTGTAGTGGCAGAGCTTGACTGGAGAAACTGTGCAGGTGGTGGGGAGTGGCTTAGGTTACTACACTGAAGCATGCAGAGACTACAGGTGGTGGGGAGTGGCTTATGTTACTACACTGAAGCATGCAGAGACTATGAAACACATGTATGTTAAGGTATCAAACATCTACAGGTTTACTGTTTATAGTACAACTGACTCTTCAGCTGCTGTAGTGTTTTGTTTCACTTAGGTTTTCAATCCATTTTTCCATGGATTAATAGAAAATACCTCTGGACATCATCTTGTCCAACCCCCCACTTAAGGATGCATCAGCTTAGATCAGGGTTATTTCTGTTGGTTATTATTTCTGTAACTTAGAAGCATATGGCTTGTCAACTTTAGAGCTGTGTGATTAACATAAAACTATCTATAGAGGGTTATGAAACTAAACTAGCAGCTTTTTATGTAACTACAGGATGATGGGATTTGATGAAGACCGAGGAATAATTCCAAGACTCTGTGAAGATCTTTTCAATCAAATAGAACAAATGGACAAGGAACAGGTGATATGCTTATACTATTGACCTTACATTGGAATATGGGAGAACTGATGCCTTAGTACTGATCCATTTACTAATGTTCATATTCTTTTGCTGATTCAAATTTAGAATCTCTGATTAACAGGGTTCCCTAAATAGTCAAAATCAACATTGCTTTGCTTCCTTAATGGCAATAATGTGAAAAAGAAATGTGGGCATATTTTTGATGTGTCACTAGACTAGAGTTCTTTGTTCTATATTGCATGTCTTACAATGTGAGATTTATGTAAGGAAAGATAAAACAAAATCCCAGTGGTTTTCATATATTCTGTGGAGGCAATAAAATTGAATTAAAAAATATGATTGTATTTTAAACATCATATATCAAAGCGAAATACACTTTAATATTCCAATTCTAGTGTTCTAGCTCAGTATTCTTGCTGAAATAAAAATAACTACCTGCACTTCCTTTGCATTAGTTTTCTCTTTATGGTTGCTCATGTCTGTGAGGACTGGCTTGCAGTTCAGTAACATTCAGTTAAACTTGTGCAGGCAAACGTTGCTTTTTTAATGATTTTAAATTTCCTTTTTGCTTTATATTTGAGTTCTTGACTTTGAGTCCTAATACCAGCAAACACGTAATATTCTGATCCTACAATAGATTTCATAGACATTGAGGAATCAAGAAGGTTATTTATGGCTGAGTTTGGTTAGAGAGTATAACTTCTCAAAAATGCAGAGCTGCTAGATAAGTTTGGTTTTCTTTTGCTTATGTATTGTAAGTGATTATGTTGCAGCAAATTGTCTTAACTCTTGTATTTCTGACTTCAGTGTTTTGGGGGTTTTGCTGCAATCTTCCTTGTCCCTTAAGGAAAATTCTGTTTTACTTAGAAAAAAGACACTGATGCCTTCAGAGGAAAGAGATGTGTTTTCATGAAGCTTTTGTTGTGGATTTTCTTTGGGTTGGTAATCTAAGTTAATTTTTGAAACAAAGGATGATAAAAATGTTTTGTGGACTATGGTAATAACTTTAATTATTTTATTAGATTTTGTATCATCTTGAAATGAGCTTCTTTGAAGTATACAATGAGAAAATTCATGATTTGCTTGTCTTCAAAGCTGAAAATGGACAGAAGAAACAAGTAAGTTGCTCACAGAAACAAGTATGTGCATAAGCTCCAAGTAGTGGCATCTATTATGTAAGCAACAATGCACAAATGGCAACTGATCATAGTTTTGTTATCCAAGTACCTTAGTTGTGAATAATGGAAATCAAGAAAAAAACAAATAAAATATCACCATAAGACTTACAGGAAAATGCTTGCCATGTGAGAAATGCTAAGCAAAAAAAATTTAAAAAAAAATCTTCCTGAAATAGAAACAAAATAGTTCAGTGGAATCTGTCAAAATTGTTGCTAAAATATCTCCTTATCTGCAAAATGAAGATGATCTAATCAGCCTTTATAAAAAAACCTCCTAGAATATTATTTATCTAAACATCTATATTAAGAGCCTTCTGGGCACTGTAGTTGGAGTTAAAATCTTGTCATTTAGATGGTTTTTTTTGGTGGTTTAGTCCTTTCTCAAGGAGCTGGAGGAGGGGAATGAGAAACAAGATTGGCCTGATTAACTAGTTGAGGATCACTAGTAAAGCTAGTTTAGCTAGTTTTTAGTCTTTGTGTGTTAGAATATGTATAACCATAAAATAAAGAAATTTGTGTTAAGTAGGGTATGCAGGGAAGGAATTTATTTCTGATTTATCAAAAAAAGTCCTTTCTGTTTTCTGACATTGAACACTATACTGGTTTTTCATGGGTAAACTGAATATTAGTTTATATAAAGATGATATACTACATTCAATTTGCTGTTGAAATAATTCCTTTATCCTAAGCTTGGGACTTATGTGGACTTCTTACATAGATGTTAAGACTATACTGTGTTGTCTAAAGCAGCAATGCTTTCACCTGAGTTCTGTCAGTGATTTTGAGGGTAACTAATTAACCTGGAAACATCATAGATTTATGTTGCAGAATTTATTTTTTCTTTTACGATATGACTGCTAGACCTAACTAATGTACTCCTAATTATGTTTGTTTTGAAATTACTCTCACCAGCTTCGTGTAAGAGAACACCCAGTGTTAGGACCATATGTGGAAGGCCTGACAGTGTAAGTCTTAACTGTTCTTATTTTAATAGACATATAGTGTAATGCTGAAACAGTGTGTTAATTGTTATCTTGAGGCTCTTGTGGAAGCTTGTGTACTCACCAGCAAATTAAGCATGGTCTCAGTGTCATGTAGTTTTAGGAAAATGCATACCCATGTCTAGCTTGACTGATTTTCTTCAGTGCATTGCCTTAGTGAAGTAAGTTTGTGGAAGTCTCCAGACAACTGAAGCTTTCACTGTGTATTTGTATTTTGTTTGTAAATGGGAAAGTGCTTCAGAACTGGGGCAGCAGGGAAAACTATAGCAGGAAAACTGTCTGAACACCAACTTTTCTTTTTCCCCCACCTTAGGAATGTTGTCCGTTCTTACTCTGATATTCAGGTAAGAGTTATGTGGTTAATAAAAAGGAGTACAAATATTTTTACTTGCTCCTTCCTTCGCCGCTGAAAAATAAATTCTGTGGGTGGGAAGAAGATGCTTTACAGACTGTCTATGATATTTCAGCTGATTTTGTAAAAGGATAATGAAGATTAGCCTTATACGATGGAGCTGAGTAGATTCATACAGTCAAGTGTCACTGTTCAAATGGTTATCTCGAGTTTAACTTTTAATTCCTCTCTTATCATTTCTGTTAATAACTTTATTTGCAAGCATTTAAATCTTCAGTTAACTATCCAAAGCAGCTTTTGTTTTTCTGGTTTGCTTTTCCCTCTTACAGAGTTGGCTTGAACTAGGAAATAAGCAGAGAGCAACAGCTGCTACTGTAATGAATGACAAGAGCTCTAGATCTCATTCTGTCTTCACCCTTGTCATGACACAAACCAAGGTATTGCTTGTTTTTTGTATCTGTTCAAATCAGGTGGTATAAAGCTGGTTTGTGTGCTGCCTAGGTAGATGTGAGAATACCCTTGAAGATCTTTAAGTAAAGCACAAGGCATGTCAACATGGCTTTCTACACAGCAAAACTTGTTTGATTTTATGTGCTTGGAATAGATTCTGATGTCCCTGTGCTACATATATTTATAGCAGCAATATAAATATGTCTGAACTGCTAGATAGATCTAGGAGTAGTTCCAAGCTTCTGAATGTGAGGTTTGGGATGTAACAGGAATCCTAATTGAGGCCAGGCCTAATCTCACACTGCTGCCAACACATCTTAGCTTCTAAGGTTAGTCTGTGTGAGGTGCATAGCTGTGCTGAGTTTGTACAAATGACTGACTAGGACAATGGTAGGAAGTGCAATTTCTACTCAGTTTCTGCACTATTCAGTGAATAAATGTTTCCTTGCTTCAGGATGCCTCCCTCCCCTGTGTGTCTCCAGGATATAGTGACTACAACTCCTCATCTGATTTTACAGATGCTTAAAAGACAAAATTTGACTTAGTGAGATGAGACTGAAAACAGAAGCAAATTAGGTAGAGCTCCTCAGAAGTCTACAGAATGTCAATTTCTGCTATTCACAAAAAACTGTCAGGCTTTTTTTATTATTTTTTTGGTGCCTGGTTGGTTAAATTTTTTGTACTGGTTGCCTAATCATCTCCTTCCTTCTTCCCCTCACCATTGTCACTTGGTTGGTTAAATTTTTTGTACCGGTTGCATAATCATCTCCTTCCTTCTTCCCCTCACCATTGTCACCACTAGATTATTGGTTTTCTCTATTACAACTGGTTTTGAGCCCTTTCCACTGACCACTTAACCAATCTTCGCTGGTCTAAGTTAGCAACAGCTTACAGATTTCCATGGTTATTGAATAGCCTCAATAGTCAAACTTCAGATCCAAACCCATAGTTTGGTAATCTGTTATGTTTGTAGTTTATGCTTATTCAGCCATAACCAATTGATACTGTGGTTAAAAGTCTGAACTTAGTCTCCTTCAAGGGATGTACATGAGGGTATCCTGTCAAAAATTAAACTGAAGCATCAATTTTTTTTATTCATTTAATGTGAGCAGCTTATCAGATTTCTGCTTGTCCTCAGGCTTTGTATTTTGATTTGAATGCCAACATGTTCTTTCGTTTTTTTTTCAGGTAGAATTTGTGAATGAACAACAGTGTGATCGTAGGCTTACCAGTTACATAAATCTAATTGATCTAGCTGGCAGTGAATGCTGTGCAAAAGCTCAGACCACTGGAGAAAGGCTGAAGGTAAACCAAGATTGGAAATCTGTGGAAAAACACTGAATTTCAAGAATGTCCTTAAACTCCAAAGCATGCTCACCTAACAGGACTCCTGAGCAGGAACTGTAGCTACAAGCAGATGTACATAGCCCTTAGGCCTCACATTTTGCTGGTGAGGGTGGGTGGCCAGTGGTGGGTGAAGCTGTGTGGACTGTGCAGTGTGGTACATCGTGCTTAGAACAGCATTACCCATGCTGTGCAGGTCTAATGATCCTGTGGAAGAAGTGAGGGGAAACTGTGACATTGTAAATCATGAATCAAATATCACATGGAGTTGGAGCTTGCTCCTTTTTTGGGACATCTGATCAAAGCTTCTAATGAGAGACTATTTCAGGCTGCCTTCAAAAGTTTGATTGTTCTTAGCTCTGCTTGTTTTAAAGGCATAGAACAAGCATAATTAACAGTACAGTTAATAACATCACACAAGTAGATGCAACTGTATTATAAGTATATTTATTTTTTTCTTTGTGTAGGAAGGTGCAAGTATCAATAAATCACTGTTAACCCTTGGAAAGGTTATTTCTGCACTCTCTAAACAATCTCAAAATGGAAAGAAAACTTTCATTCCTTACCGGGAATCTGTCCTAACTTGGTATGTATACCAGAATATTTTATCTAGAAGCAGAGTCTTTCTGAGATTGTGGTTTTCTGTTCATGAGGCATCACTTCTCTTCCTTTCCTCTTGCTCTTAAATGACCTGTGAAGAGAAGAAATTAGCCTGTTGCATCAGATAAAGAACAAACAGGACCTTGGTTTGTGTTTTAAGTAGCTATCATTCCCTCTCAAGTAGCAAGACTATAGGAATTTTGTATTTAATCTGTTCCAATTGAGAAGTTTAATTTTTCTCTCAGTGTGAGGGCCAGGAATTGACTTGTATTCTCCTGTCACATGAAGGCTGTTAAAGGAAAGTCTTGGTGGGAACTCACAGACAACTATGATTGCCACAGTGAGTCCAGCTGCCAGCAGCACGGAAGAAACACTCAGCACTCTTCGCTATGCAAAACAGGCTTGTTCAATTATCAACATTGCTAAAGTAAATGAAGATGTCAGTGTCAAGCTAATCAGAGGTGAGATTGACATCTGCAGTCTCTGAGGGGTTTCCATTTGCATGTGTTTTTAGCTGTTTACTACTGATAATGTATTGTGTGGACTGACCACTTGTCAACTAGGCTAATACAACCTGGGATATCTTCCTTTTGATATCATTATTCTTTGTGATGTTTTGTTTCTTCTAAGATTTGGGGTTGATATCTTAGGCTACACTTGAGAACCTTGAATCAAGAAAGGTCTTTTGTTTTTAATTAAATAACAGGATGAATTTTCTATTATTGCACTGAGGTGTTTACACCCTATTTTTTCTTCCTTTTTTTTTTTTTTGTACTATGTGTCTGGTTTGTCTAACGTAGAATTGAAAGCTGAGATCGAAAAACTGAAGGCAGCTCAGAGAAGTGCTCTGAACACTGATCGTGAGAAATACAGACGTTATTTGCAGGAAATAACATCTTTGAGAGTAGAATTGAACCAGCAAGAGAAGAACATGGCAGAAATGCAAAGGTCAGGCAGTTGTTAATGTCTTACTTTAAAAGAGAAATGGTAGAAGTTACATGCTGTAATTTTTCTCCTAATATGTTGTGTTATTTTGTCCTTAATATATTAAGGGCCTGGAAAGAAAAATTGGAACAAGCAGAAAAAAGAAAATTGGAAGATATAAAAGAATTGCAGGTATGTTTTCTTTCTGTAGAAGATAGTATAGAAAATGTAACACCAGCAAGCCTTGGGGGAGAATGAGAAGTAGCTGTAAGATCTGGTTTCCTTAATGCTTTTCTTTTAACAGACTACTGTGACGTCAGAAAATAATTTTAGGCAGGTATTTGAAGGCACAGAGGAAGTGGGATTTTTATGCAGAACTCTGTTTTTATCTAGAAAGCAGGAATTGCATTCAAGATGGACAATCATTTACCAAACCTTGTCAATCTCAATGAAGATCCTCAGCTTTCTGAGGTGCTGTTGTATATGATCAAAGAAGGGGAAACTACAGTTGGGAGGTGTACACCAAATTCGAGGCATGACATCCAGCTCTCTGGAGTGCTGATTGCTGATGACCATTGGTAGGTAGTGTTCTTTTTAGACTTAAACTGAGAGCAGGAAATATTCCTTCTCACTTTCTTTTCTTTTGGTGTCACTCTCTTCCTTGCAGTAAAAAAATATGGTTTTCAAGCCAGGAAAATAGTATGATAGTTTCTGGACTGCTCTTTGATTAAGTCAGCTTCCTTCTGTTCCCTTTAGAAATATGTTAACTTAGGTAGTTTCATTTCTTTGTTCATTTCATTGGTGTAGCAAAAGTGTATTCTGCAGCATTTCTGCACGGATAGGTCCTGATGAAATGATGCTGTGTGATATAAAACCGTGACATTAAGTTAATTGAGAAAGTAAAATGACTTGACAGTTCTTACTTAACTAAAACCAGAGCAATTTGGCCATACTGCAGGGATATTGTTTAAAGTGGAATTGGTCTCAGACAAAATGCTGCAAGAAACTTAACTCATCAGTTACTAAAAGCATGAAAGACACAGGTATTTTGAGAAATTAAGGACTGTCAAAGAAATGCTCAGATGAGAGGGTATTGTAGTAACTATTTTAGCAGTGGATTCTTAGGTTCTTTTCCAAAATATAGGTTGTAATTCATTAATTTTGTGTGTTGTATGGAGAAAATTGCTGGAGTATGGAGAAAATACACATCTGGAAAAACAATACCAGAACACTATCTAAAGCATGAATTTTAGTCTATTAAGAAACATTGCTTGCAATTTTCATGAGCTACTGCTATTAAAAATGTTTCTTGTTTTCAGTGTTATAAAAAATAGCGTTGGCAAAGTAACTATTATTCCACTGAGAGAAGCAAAGACATATGTAAATGGGAAGTGCATTTTGGACCCAACAGTTCTGCATCATGTAAGTAATTGATTTGGTAATAGTAATTTGTGCATGTGTGGATTTTTTTGCTTTGTTAATACTTCAGCTTCAGACTGTAGGAGGCTCTGAAAATGTAAATATTTGTATTTTCCTCTTCTTGTTTCTAGCTCTAGCTGTTGTTTCAAGCACTGAAAGTGTGCTTATTAGTCCAAAACTTTTAGAAGAATTTTTTTTTTCCCTAATAGGGTGATCGAGTGATCCTTGGGGGAGACCATTATTTCAGATTTAATCATCCAGCAGAGGTTCAGAAAGTTAAAACACCTTCTCGTGGGGCTGCAGGTTTGCATGATGGGCCAAAAGATTTTGAATTTGCAAAGAATGAGCTGCTTATTGCACAGAAAGCACAGTAAGTGTTGATGAATTTTGTTCTGAAAATAAACTCAGTCATTAATTCAACCATGCAATTAGTTTAAGAAATAACTGAAGTTTATTAACTATTTCACAGTAAGGGAAAGTTGGAAAATAGCAACTCCATTTGTAATGGAAATGGAAGCCACAGACTTAGCTGCAATGAGTGTATACCTCTAAGATTTAATCACTACAAGCTAGTCCAGTTACCAAGAATGTAGAAACACTGAGCTCAAGGAGGACTCAGTGGTGTATCTCTTCAGATATGTTTCTCTCCAAGCACATGAGAGTCTGAAATTGACTTCTGATGTTTTAGAGAGATTTAAAGCCTGAGAAATAAATACCTTAAGAAAAAGAGGAGAGCTAAAGTTATAGCCTTAGTCTTGTGTGATGCTGGAGAATTCGAGAGACAGTGAAGTGTTATTTGTACTTGCTTCATTTCTGAGAGTTATTAAACCACAAGAGTCATTGACTTAAAATTTACTTTTTGCATCTTCATGTGATTTAGTGAGTTTCCATTACTTAATTTTGTGCAAGTGCTGTAGTAAAATAAAAATAGAAATTGATGGACTTTAAAATTATGGAATGTCTTCTGTATTTAGCACTGTCTACGTATTCCTTATGAAACCAAAATTAGGTAAAGTATAAAAGTTGTTTTGTTTAAAACAAACTGAATAAGTCATCGTGACAGAAAAAAGGATTACAATCTGTTTTAGCCTATAAGAGAATCAAGCCAGCATTCTAAATGTATGATACTTGTAGTCTTGAATCAGAAATCGAAGAGGCACGACTCAAAGCCAAGGAAGAAATGATGCAAAGTGTCCAAATTGCCAAAGAGCTGGTTCAACAAGAATTGACCTCACAAAAAGAAGTCTATGAGAGCAAAATCAAGTCACTGGAAGCAGAGGTGGTAGGTTGCCATTGCATCTTTACATAAAACATGTCAATACAATAAACCAAAAACTAGTATGTGGTATCTGGGTGGTTGGTGCTTGGTTTGGGTTAGCTTCTGTAGCTTCTATGTGGGGTGGTTTTGTTTGTGGGTTGGGGTTTTTGGGTCTGGCTTGGTATAACAGTGCCTTGGAGAATGCTAAGCCTCATTCTTCTCTTAAAAAAAAAAGTCAGCCTTAGTAATGCAAGAAGTTAGAAAGTAGGTATCCCCTTCAGAGGTATTCCAGGGACTGTAACTCATATACAAAGAAAATCATCTACAGAATCTAACTGATTCTATGAGACTTAAATTACTGCAGTATATTCATTAATACAGCTTTGTTTCTCTTTCCAAGTTTGCATGGTGCTTTGTCGTTACTCTTTTTAATACTTTTACAATATGCATAAGTTGGCAATAGACTAGTACATCATGGTAAACCAATAATAATGAGGGTGTATCTTATTTCTTAAACATCCTACAGAATACAGAATGTGGTGCTTGTGAACCTTTCACTGCTGGTGTTGGGCTGTGTAGGCCACAGAGGCTGTGTGGTTCAAGTGTGTTGAAGTGAAAATAACCTCACTATCTGCCAAAGGGATGGGTCAGAAATGCTGCAGAAGCAGTATTCCTCCTCTCATCTCTCTTTTTTGACATTAGAGAGAAGAGGCTCGTAAGAAGCAAATCCAAGAACTGAATAACCAGAAAGCTGCAAGTAAGATACAGGAACTAGAGAAGGCAAAGCAAAACCTTGAGCTAGAACTACAGTTCAATAAGAAGCGCTTGGAAATGGAGACCTTAGCTACCAAGCAGGTAACTTTAAAAAACAGCTTTTTAGGCAATGAACTGTGGTTTTAGTTGGGCTTTTACATTGTTTGGTTTTTTGCAATCGATTGTTGTGAAGGAAATGTTTACAAGTATTTTGTTCTATGTGATTTTATGCAGAACTGATATTTTGTTTGCACTCTGAATATGGTATTGTATTGCTGTTGGGGATTAACTAATGCTGACCTTATTTCTTATATAACATGGATGGTCTTGTTCCTGTACTAAACTTCAGCAACTCTTGCCTGTAGCAAAAGTTATGACTCCAGGCATTAATTGTAAGGAGTGACTGGATCTTGGCTGCTGTCCATAGATATCTGACTGCTGAAATAAATATGACTTAATTTTTAAAAAGCTGTTTCTTTTTAATTCCAGTGTTTTTTGGCTATTACAGTATCTAAGCAAAGCCAGAAAGCTGTCAGAGTTTGAAAATGAAGGATTTCTAGCAATATAGCAGATTTCCAGTATTAATTTCATTCTCAGAGTCTTTAAAATGACAGGAACAAAAAAATTAGCTTCAATAAACAACATTAAGAGTTTTAGGTATTTTTTTACTCACTGGCTACTTTCCCTCAGGCTCTAGAAGATCATACTATTCGTCATGCAAAGATTCTGGAAGCTCTGGAAGCTGAGAAGCAGAAGATTGCTGAAGAAATAGAAACCCTTCAGAGGAATCGTGGGAGTGGGAATAAAACCCTGACGAGTATGTACATATGTAATGTTGCTAAGGCAATGCTGAATTCTCTTTTGCTCAATGTGTTTGGGCAATGGATATGGATCCAGAAGCTTTTTCTGATCCACCAACACTGCTCTAGTGGTCCTAACTAGAGCAGCTATGTGTATCAGCCTGGTGTTAAGAGCTCTGTTTTAATCACACTCAGGATGCTTAGGTGGATACATATGTAGTCTGTGTTTATCCCAGTTATTTAAAAGTCTTTCCCTGTCTCTCTGAACTGGCCAGGCATTAACACATTGGGAAAGCTGAGTAACAGAATTCATTCTGTTTAGTTTCCTATCTTGAATTAATATATAGTGTCTGGTTTTATACCTCTGTTTCTGGAATACCCTTTGCCTGACCTTTTAAAAGGTTTATCTTGCTTGGGATATTGGGTCATTTTTTGCAAATGTATTGGGAATTCATGGTGCTAGTATTGGCTAAATTACATTTGAGCTTTTTGGTGCTAGTGTTGGCTAAATTACATTTGAGCTTTTTGGTTGTGGTTTCTTTTTTGCCTTTTTTTTTTTTTTTTCAAACTTAAAGTTGTTGCATCACACTATTTGATCCACTTAATCACTACATCCTATATCCTTCATTAGTTCCTCTTAACTGGAAGTCTCTGAAGCTGTCTGTGATGATCAAAGAGGCCAACACCATTAGTAATGAATTAGGAAAAAACACTGTTTTCTGCAGGTGAGTATCTGAGTTAATTATAAGGGGATGTGTGTGTATATATATGTAATTGGGGGTGGATTCTGGATGTGCAGTGGGTTGTTGGTTTTTCTTTTAACAGTCTTGTGAAATTGAACATGATAAATGACTTTTCCAAACTAGCTTTGGTTAAACATGTAGTTGAGCCTTGTTACTTTGAAATGTGGATTTCAAATTTGAATTTTAGATCAAAACTTTAAAGGTATGTCTAGTTTTAAATTCAGTGTGCTTTGGAGGTGAATCCTCTGATGCCCATCCTGCTTTTGTTCACATATCAAAGTGCTCCTAAAGCACACCAGCTATGTTTCTTTAGGACAAAATTAAAGTGAGGCCTCTGTGCCACCAGGAGGTGCTCAGTTCACAGGCCCAGAACAGGAGTAGTGTAGCTGACAGCAATGACCTCAGAACATTTTTACAGTGAGTATTGAGCCTTTAGGACCAGTTGTTTCACTGCACACATCTCTTGCTATGCCATGCTGCTTACTAGTTGAAGCTTAACAGTGTTCTCCCAGTGGAGCTGTATGTTCTTCAGGTGTTCTTAGTATGAATAGATGTATTAGTGCAGAGGAAGGCTGTAATTTAAAAAAATTGCTACAGTTAATCCAGGTAAGCTAGGACTTCCTAGGAGGTGTATGTTTTACTGTCTTTTTCAGACATTGCAATTTCACATCCTTCAGCGAGAATTCTGCAGCATGTATTTGGCTCTGAGTTTTTTGAGAACCAGGAGGTTGTATGCTAATATCTCCTTCTGTTTCTGAATGCAGGGAATCCTTTTTTCCTTTACATAAAAATAAATTTAATGGCTGCACTGTTTGTTGTCATGTCTCAAGAAATTTCTCAGTTTGTGTCGTATTTTTATTCTCTATAATCCTACCTACAAGTATCTTGTTTCCTTTTGCACTGTGAATAATATGTTTTGTCTTGATTTTTGACTTATTTTTTTTGTCTCAATTCATAGGCATGACAAAATTGATGATAAAACAGGAACAGTGTCTTCTGTTCAGGTGCAGGTTCGTAACATCAAACTGGGAATAGCAACTTTTTGGAGCCTAGAGAAATTTGAATGCAAACTAGCAGCAATGAAAGAACTCTATGAGGTCAGTAACACTAATAATCAGTAATACTTGTTTCAAAGATCAGATTTTGATAATCCATACAGGAGGAAATTCTTGCTGGTTTTTTTTTTTTTTATGGAGTGGGTTATGGAATCTTAAACACCATGACACATGACTGCTTTTTACTCAACGCATGTTCCATTTCCTGCAAAAAAACCCCAACTATTGCTCAAACTGTTATACAGATATAGATATAAAAATAATAAAAAACTGTAAATTATATGCCTAGAGCTTTAATAAATCTGACATGTGAAGAGAGCTGTGAAAAGTT